TGGTAGAACCGAAAAAATATGAGAACATGGCTGTGATTGTCTATTAAGTCACATTGCACCAAGATTTCTACATTGTATGTGTATCTCTGCTTGAGGGCTGAAATAGCATTGCTACTATTCCCCTACACAAAGGGGAAAGGTAGCATTGATGAATACCACACTACAGGGAGATAAATTTGTTAAGTGTGCCTGAAAAACTCTGGGGAAAAATTATTATTGAAAGGACAAAAGAGGTGAGAAAAAAAAACCATGGGAAGTGTAGTATAACTTTATATAGTGCAAAGGTCGGAAGACCAGATTTTCTACTTCAGCAAGTCACAAAGAAATATATGAATATAAAGGTTTATTTTATTTATGTCAAATGTTATCTACCTATCTAGCTATCTGTTGTGAGATTCCATATAAGGCATATAGAAAAAAAGAAGGTCAAAGAACACGAGACAGACTCAGAAGAAGATGGAGCGACAACATCAAAGACACAATGCAACATCAATTAACAATGGTTGAGGCCAACAGAAGAGCAAGAACCAGAACTCTGTATTTCCCTCGACACGCGAAGCAGTAAAAGAGGAAGTAAAGACAAAGAAGATCTGTCTGTCTACCACGTTTTTAAATTGCCGATCTCCTCATAGAAATCTTATATGGACTTGGGTTATGGAATGTTTTTCCAAATCTAAAGTTGTTTGTGTGTAAGTGAAGAGCAATGGATGTCCTTTTGAGCACTTTGGCTAGGAAGAGAATATACAAATGTAATAAATATGTACTGTATTTTCTGGCGTATAAGACGACTTTCTAAACCATGCAAATCTTCTCCAAAGTCGGGGGTCGTCTTATATGCCCAGTGGTCTTATACGCCGGAAAATACGGTATCTAAATATATTCAGAGCCTATTTTTAAATTTCTGAAACAAAAATGCAGAAAATTAGTAAATAAGTTTCTGTTATGAACTGCAAACAAAAATAATGTTACATTTTGGCACACCAAATCTGCTGAAGAACTCTGCTGAATTTTTTTTTTTCCCTCCGGTCAGACCGGTCTGGTTGATACACCTTGGTATTTTGACTGCTATATTGCAGTTTTACTGTTATAATCACTTTTGCCTTGCAGCCCCCCAAACTAGGGGCATTAAGCAGGCTCAAGTTGCTACTGCGATACATTACAAATTCGAATTTATTTTTGTTGTTGACAAAGAGTTAAAGAGTTAAATGGGAGACTAGAATAGCTATATATATATATCAGGTCAGGGATACAAAATTTGGAGGGGGATGTGGATTTTGGTATAATTCATGCAACATTAAGAGTAAGTATTTGAAGGACACATGGCTAATGGTATGGTGAATATGTTATAATTTCAATAGTATGCAATTCACATCAAACATTTGGTTTGATGGTTGAACACAGTAAGAGTGATAGGTAATGGGTGTAAAACAGTTGTGAAAATAAGGGGTATGCTTAGGAAATGGTACAATATTGAGCAGAGAGTAGAACAAGGATGCTTAATGTCTCCTTGGTTGCTTCATGTATTTATGGATAAAATGTATAAGAAATTTTTATGGAGATTTAAGAAGAATATTGTTTGGGAACATGAAAGTATAGATTCATTCGTACACAATTGATGCAACCCTTTTGGCCAAGAATTGAAATTATTTGAGCCAATGTTATATTCTACAATACGAATTTCAAAATTAATAAAAAACCAAGGTAGTTGGATTGGAGAGGGAAAATGGCAAAAGAAGAGGAAGTTGATGGATTTGTGTGCCTAAAAACAGAGAAATAGTTGAAAAGATGTGCAAATGTTAGTAGAAAGATAGGGTATAAAATATGCTCTGTTGCAAGGAACTTGTTGAATATGAAAAAAACAGCTATTAGATGGAAATAAAGTTGGGTCTTCTAGAAGAAACATAAAGTAGCCAGAATGCAATGGGAATGGGAGATTTAAGATATCTGTATAATAAATCAGGAAGAAATGGGGTCATAAATGAAGGGGTACTGAATGAATAGGGATGAAATATATGAGTATGCATTTTGTTATATATAGGGAATAGATAGATAAATAGACATTGCAGTTAGAACATTCCAATACCAAAAACATCAGTATTTGAAGGGAAAAATACAAAAAGTATAAATTATACTAGCTGTGTCCATCCTTACCCACCACAAATTTGATGGCACTATTTTGCTGAAATTTAACAAACTGTAATAGAATTAAAAATAGTTATTCTGAATGAGAGTATATGTGTATCAATGTTTGGTAGATTGGTCAGTAGAGTGGAGGTTGGGGAATAATTATATACTATAAAAAAATAAAGTTGTCTTCAAGTCTTGTTCAGTTCTTGGTAATGCACAGATAATCCATGAAGGTTTTTTGGTATCATAAATACCATAAGTAAAGACAAGACTAATTATTGAGTATGCTAAAAAGCTATTTGCAGTAATGAGGCATTAACCATGAGATGAAAAGTATTTGGGCTTATTGAAATTTAAGAATGTAGAACTTAATATTTATAAATTGTAGTTCAGTTATTTCACCATGAACTCTTTCAATTAACCATGGATAATTATGTCATTGCAAACGGAGTCTCAGAATATAGTAAGCTATTGTTCACAAATGGTAGGATATATCAAATTACAAAATGAGCCCATACAGGAATTTCTGCAATAGCAGATAACATTCGCTGTGAATACACATCATTTTTTAAAAATTAAATCATTTATTTAATCAATTTATCTGGACTTGTAATGATATGTTGTTGAGCCATAAACTGATCATACAGTGCTTGGTTCACAAGTAAGCTAGGTTAAACATGCCCATTTCAGGGTTTTGTTACTATACCCTGTATATTAGTAATAGAATTGCTATGGATAAGAAATAACTGTTTTAGATTGGATGTCTGTCTGCAACAACATGTTGATCTACCAGTCAAAGCTTGAGTAAAGGAAATGCCATTGTCCAGGATATATATTTTCCATTATTTTTTTAAGCATCATATGCTTTCCATGATGTTTGAGAAATTGTGGAGGAGGGGCATAGTGCTGGAGAACTGGAAAAGGGCAAATATGTTTTTATTATCAAAAATGTGGAAAGGGAGAGAGAACCTGGGTAACTACACTCTGATAAACATCATACAAATACCAGACAAAGTTCTGGAACAGATTATTAAGAAGTTGGTTTGTAAGCATGTAGAAATGAATGCATGGCTTGAATAAGTCAGGTCAAACCAATCTGATTTTCTTTTTGATAGAATGGTCAACTTAATCTTGATGGACATAGTGCATGTTGATTTCAGCCAAACATTCTTCTACAAAATTCTATTATTCGCTGGACTACATTACCATTAGAAGGCAACAGAGCTAATTGGACAGCCATGCCAAATAAATATATATTTATGTTCTAATCTAGGCTCTTTCTTCTACATTGGGGCACTAAAGCAGTATAGCCTAATAATCCCAATCTGTATTCATGGGGTCTTATTTCAGACCAAATTCATACATCCCTTCTACAGGAGTACAAGGAGAAAATCAGCTTGCATGCTTAAAGAGGATAACATCAAGAGAATACAGCACTGATGCCAAGTTAATATCAATAATAGTGTTGATACCAACTTGACATCAGTGCTGTGCTCTCATGATGTTATCCTCTTTAAGCATGCAAAATGATTTTCTCCTGCTTTGCTACAAAACTGAAGTTCTTGACTTGTATAGGCAACTGCATAGGCAGCCTTACAAGCGAACTTGACCATGGCTATTGTTTTGGGAAAAATGTCTGACTTCGGATGAGTTTCAAATTATTTGTATGATTGCTTTTTATGGCTGGCAACCCACTATCAGTGTAGACCAGTGGTTCTCAACCTTTCTAATGCCGTGACCCCATAATACAGTTCCCCATGTTGTGGTGACCCCCAACCACTTATACATCACCGGGTGCCAGGGCCGTGGCCAAAGAAAAGGGGGGAAAAATGGCGGACAGCCTTGTTTGGCGACCCCCGTGAAATGGTCGTTCAACCCCAAATGGGGTCCTGACCCACAGGTTGAGAACCACTGGTGTAGACAGTAAAGAACATGATCTTGACAGGAAGAAAAAGTATGTTACCAAAGCAACAAGGAGGCAAAGGTGGCTGAAGCCCAAGAAGAATGTAAGTGAAATCCTAATTTATATAAGGTTAAGAGAAGGAGGAGGTAAAGCATAATCAGACATGCAAGATTCTGATAGATAGCTCATTTTAATAAAAGTAATTCTAATCTTCCATAGAGTTTATTCCTTGCTCTTGTCTACATTATGGGGCTGACAGTGAGATGTTTTGCTTCATTAGCAGCTATAAGTATTTTGAACACAGGGTTTTTTTAAAAATGCCATTCTGAAAGCTTTACACGAGTATTTATATGCAGGAAGATGTCATGACGGCCAAAAAAAATTTCATCTCATAAAGGCAGATGTTGCAAATACTGAGGGAAGGGTCCTGCCACTTTATTGTCCTCCTCCTTATATGGATCAGGACGAGGGCATTGCTCTAGTTCAAGGTTCACTCTGATTAGTTGGAAGGAGCCTCAATTAGTGCCTTTTCTGCCTACTCTCCACTTTCTGACTAGAAGAGGCTCTCTCGCTCGTTTTCCAACCCCCTTGGAGTACCTAGCGCTGCACCGAAGCTCAGCCTGGGAACCGGAGTCAAGCGCAGATCGAGAGCGTCACTTTCGGAAAAGCTGAGCCCCGCCAGGCCACACTTATGTTCGGATCGCCTTGCAGGTCCGCCGACTGCCGAAGGACACCCCTAACTTGGCGACAGATGCCACTCCCGTCTCCTTGGAGTCCCTTCATTCATTTCCTCCTCCCGCACTGCCTCTTGCAAAGTTTCGGCTGCTGGCGAGAGTCTCGGCTGGCGCTTCCGTGCCTCGATCCACCCCCCCCCCTTCTCCGGGCTTTCGCTCGTAACGTAACACGCGGGGAAAGAGAAACTGCGCCTTGTCCCTTTAAGAGCCTTCGCTCGCCCTCTCACGTGGGCGATCAGCTGACAGTGACGCTCCCGGGGAAAAAGATCCCTGTTCCTGAAACCTGGGGCGCTGCAGCGGGTGGCGAGCGTCTCTGTCCCTGCCGCTTAGCCGCCTCTTCCGTCTGGCTGCGGGAGGGCGCTTGGCGGCGGTGGCAGCGCGAGCAGCTCCGGCGGGCAGAGGCAGCGCGAGGGACAAACCCGCTAATCCTTCGTGCGTCCAGCCAGCGAGGTAGAGCCTGAGGATCGAGACTAACCAGCAACCCAGCAGAGAGCAACTGCCTAGCTCGGAAGCGCTCGGGGAATTGCGATTCCTATACCATCCTTGCAGGCGTTGAGACGGCAGGGCTCGCCAGCACGGGGGCTGTGGGCCGTGGGCCGGTCTACAGACGTTTTCAGCCTGGGTGTGAAGCAGGCTGCTCTTGTCAACCTCCGGTACCCAAATCTAATTACCCCAGTTCATGGATTATCTGGTAAGTCCCCGGTGCAAAGTGAATGCAAAGTCTTCCTTCTGCTCCCAATTTAGGGCGAACTCGTTTTCAACCCTGCATGCTCCCAAATCCATTGTGTACCCCTATCTATTTTCTGCTTGTTTATCTGTCTATCCGTCTGTTCAGAGATCCTCAAGTTTCCTAATATATATGATAGGCTCGCTTGCTTGTTCTTTCAGACGAGATAGAACTTGGTTGTTGATTTTTGGAAGTCGGAAATCACCTTTTTTCCTCTTGATGCTGACAAGGATAATGGAGAACAAAGTTTCCTAGTTGTGCTTATATAGTAAAGTCCTGGCTAGAATTGGAATGCTCCAGGCTCTGAATCTGGAGACTTTCAGAACAATTAAAAACCTTAAATGGACTACTACAGTCTCACTCATTGAGTGATTAGGTTTCTAAAGTCCTGAGCCAGGTCACCTAGCTTGGTTCTAAATGCTTAAATTGAGAGGATGCTTGAATGCATTACATTGAAATGAGTGTGAACAATTCTGTACTTAAATAATTGGGCGTTTAGCAGAAAACATTTAGCAGCATTTAATGAGAGTTGGCTTATTTGTTAAAAGAGAGAGATTGTATCACAGTTGTTTGCTTCAAGGTTAGAGAACTTTGGGGTTTGTGAAAGGCCTGGCAGTTACTAATCTCAATTGCCCATGGATGGAGCGAGATCTTCACGCTAATCTATTCCTTAATTAACATTTTAAACACATAAAACAAAGCACAATCTACATGATCAGTGTTAAGAGAAGCACTGTGCTTCATATTAGCTTTTTCCCATGCTTTTTAACTCGCTCTCCTTTTTGCCTTTCAAAATGTACACTCTGATGATCGGAGGTTGTTTGTACAGTCAGAAATTACATACCATGAAAAATCATAAATTTTCTTTTGATGCACAGTACAGGAAGAGATACAGACTAAAGATACTTTCATTGTGCGATTAGCTTGTTTTCACAGATTTTAGAGGGCTCTAGATGTACCAATTCATAATCTTCCTGAGATTTTTTTTTTCACTACTTTTTTCTTAATACAGAAAATGGTCAAGCTGGGTCTAAATAATGCATTGATTTGTGGCATTTTCAAGAGCTATGTATATATTTTTTCTAGATAAAAATATGAAATGTAGTTTATAAAAACATCTTCTAATATGACATACACATGTGTAGCCTACATGTATAAAACTTAGTATGGTAATTAGTTAATTCATGGTTTCATTTCTTAGATTGTCTGAATCTTATATAGAATGATTTAATGCGAATGAATGTGTAAAATTACATTTTCCTGCAGTTCTGTTGAGATGAAATATGCACTTATTAGCGGGAAGAAAGTGCTTCATTGATCTATCAGTAAAAATGCTTTCTAGAATAAATGTGACATTAACACTGGGAACAGTATATTACCTAAAGTATTTATTTCTAACTAAATTACTTTAAAAAGCAAGACTACTTTTACCAAAAAGCACAACACTTTTAGAAAAGCACAGATTATGTTTTTATTTTGTTTCAAATGTTTGTGGGGTAAATTGTATTTAGCCTGTGTATTGATGGGGAAAATGTTTGCTGTGTTAAGACTGTATGACCCTTTTCTGTTCTGAGAACAGGTATTACTATAATTACATGGGAGCCTGGAGGTTTCTAAAGTAATATTTTTGAAATTTGTATCTGGGTGAAGGTAGCCTTTTATGTACTTGGAGCAAATATTAAATCTTTTAACTGCTGCAGAACGTAATGGAAAGGTATTCTAGTATGCAGAATGTGTTTAATTGACTTTGTTCTTGTACATGACAAACTTACAAAACACCCTTTGCTAAGTCTAGCTTGACCTATTGTCCTTATTTTTGTTCTTTGTTGCATGCAACTTGAAGCAAATTGTGTGCACTTTTGACATTAATGCAGGGTTGCTTGTTTCATGAAAAAGTATTTCAGTTGTAGCTGCTTTCATATTATCCTCTATCCCTGATTTTTATGCAATTAACTATTTATTACATTTGTAGCAATAAAGGAGAGATTGGAATATGAAATCTATGTTCTTTGAAGTGCCTGGATATTTAATTTGGACAGATGTTTGTTTTGTAAGGTTTACAAGTAAGCCAAGTTACAGAAGAACAGAGTTTAGAACTTCATATTGAATTTTTGATTGTGTTTCCTTTAGCAAATGGCTTTAGGCTAAGAAAAAGATGAATTTATATTCTGAACTCTTGTTGACGATATTGGCAGTGTTTTCTCTAATAGGACCTTTCAGAATTTACTGAATACTCTCTACTTGTATCATTGCATAACAGACAAGAGCTAGAGGACAATAAAATTGTTAAGGCAGATGCTGGATATATTGTTAATATTCAGCCAAAAACAACACTTGGAAAATAATGTAATTGACATTCTTATTTTCAGTATTTGCATCATTTAGGAGTCAAGAAGTTTGTGTAATTTATATGATGCATTGATGATTGTAACAATCTCATGCCCATGCAGAATTCTGTATGTTTGTGCTTATAAGACCAAGGAACAACAGAAAAGATTAGAAGCATATTTGTTTGTATATCACCCTTCCAATACATAATCAAGGAAGTTACTTTTTTAAAAAACAAAACAAAAAACAGGCTAGAATTAATATTAATATTAAAATCCTGGCAAAAGAACATGTTTATTTTTTACACATTGGGAGAGCCAAATGAGAACCAGTGCAGATCTCATGAAGGTTCCTTCCATAGAGCAATGGAATACAAGGACCTATCTGGTGAACCACGAAGAAAGGCCTTGGACAGCAGGAGTGAGTTCCTATGGGCCTCCTCTTGCAGATTTTAGCAGCCAGACAAGTTCATAAAAGGACCTGGGCTACAACTCACACAAATGCTGAGGGCATTTTTTCTCTATTCCAATTGCCCATCACTCCTTCTTGCTTCTTGGTATATATGTATAGATGTGGGTAACTATTTACTTATTTACTGATTTCTCAAATTTGGAAGCTGCCTATTTAATTTGACTAATGGTGACTTTCAGTAGTTAAAACACTCATAGCATGGGTAACAATTTAAACAATGAAATCCAGGGTAAAATGTAAACATTAATACATCATGGATAAACAATACCCTAAAAAGTCTACAATAAATAATACACATCCTGTTACTTAAAGTAATGATGTCCCTAAATACAATAATCCCATGACAAATACAAGAGTGGCACATATTCTAATGCAACTAGTTTATTTTTTCCTTTATTAAGGTCTCTAGGCCAGAAAGTGCAACAATAAAATACAGGACTTGTATTTATTAATAAAACAATGTATTTTATGTAATTGTATTGCATTTTTTATTACAATTACATTACAATTATGTAATTGTATTGCATTTTTATTATAGTAACTGTAGGACAGATACCAATGACAATCACCCAAACCTGCGCTAAACTTCAGCCATAGCTTGGATTGTAGGATACAAAAAATGACAGTACAAAGTTGGGCAACCTGGAAAAATATGTGAGGGTTCTGGTCAGGTAGAAGCAGTGACAGGCAGACACTGTATTCTCTACCAGGGTAATTCTTTAAAATAGGATAAATATATATCTTCCTTGGTTCCCTATAGGGAGAAAATAAAGAAGCATGTGGCTCAGGGATTCCAGAGGCATCTCCACTGCTGAAAATGGGTGTTTTTATACTGTCCCCACAGAACTGCAGACGGAAGTGCATCCAAGTTGCCAAGGTGAAAGGCCGATGAAATTTCAGAATTAGAATTTGAGACAGATTAGATGATGGCACATGTGATTGAGAAGAATCCATAAACTGTAAATGCTAAATATCAACTGCTTAAACTACTTGAAGATCAGTATCCCACATCATCATCATCGTCTTTATCATCATCATCATCTTCCTAGCGTTATTCTCTCAGGTACAGGATGTGCTGTTTTGGATTGACAAACATCATCTTGTATGGTCAAACACAATATACGAGTCCAACTGGGCAATTTTCATGTCTGTATTTATTGTGTCTTGCCATCTTTGCTTTGGCCTTCCATGCAGGTGCTAGCCATCTGTGTTAAAGTGGAAGGTGATGAAAGCAGTGATTGATGATGCTGATTGAAGATCAATACCCAGATAACATTGTTTACAATGACTCCTTGCATTTTCAGGTCCTTTGTAAAATTTTCTTCTCTTGTGGATCTGGCTCCACTGGTTCTTGGAAACCATTTAAATTCAACCTAATTAACAGAAACCTTAATACAGATAGTCCTTGATTTATGGCCACAATTGAGCCCAAAATTTCTGTTGCTAAGCAAGAGAGCTGTTAAGCGAGTTTTATCCCATGTTAAGACCTTTCTTGCCACAGTTGTGAAATGAATCATTGCTGTTAAGTTAGTAGTATGGTTGTTAAATGAATCTGCCTTCCCATTATATTTGCTTGTCAGAAAGTCACAAAGAGTGATTGCATAATCCAGGACACTGCAACCATCATAAATGCATGCCAGTTGCCAAGTATTCAAAATTTGATCATATGATTACTGGGATGCTGCAACAGTTGTAAGAATGAAAGCCATAAGTCAGTTTTTTCAAGGCCTTTGTAACTTTGAATGGTCACTAAACAAATGGTTGTAAGTCAGGGACTGCTGTAGCAAATTCTAGTCCTAAGGATTTTCTTTGGAAAGTCCCTGTCCGCTCTAGTACAACAAGATTGCAGGCAAGAAGTGAAGACTAGGCAGAATAGCTCAGTCTTCATTACCTTTGGAAAGTCTATTCATTGGTGGCTAAGTTAGTAGAACATGTATCTACCTTTGGAATACTTTGGGGCAAATCAAAATGAAGTAGGGTCTTGCCATACACTTCTGCTTTTACAGGCTTTTTTCACAATCTTTTAAAACATGTTTACCATTTTTTCCCTTGTGTAGTGGAAATATGTTCATTTTACAGACTAATGTCCATACACGTAACTTTCCTTACACTTTGCAATAATTTCTCTTAATGGACTCGGTCAGTTCATTTCTTGTAGCATTTTAATTAATTTGTTTTGCATCAGAATTCCTTTTTTCTTCCATTAACGAAAATGCAGTTTTTGCTGTATTCCACCATTAGTGTTGTGACTCCCATCAGCTTAATACAAACCACATTTGTTCTTCCATTTTTCAGCTAAAAACCTCTAAAGGTACAAAATTAAAGATATCTTGGCTGTTGTCCAGTCAGCAATTATGCATTCACAAATCAACATGTCTTACAAACTTGCATCTCTTCCATTATTTCTTCTGCAGTAGTGCTAAGATAGTTTTAGTAGGTGGCAGTACCTGATAACCTTGACTTGGCTTAATACTTGAATGGGAGACTTTGAGGGAATATCAAGTTTGTAGTATAGGCTGTGAATAAAAATCAGAAAAATCCTGGAAGAAGGCAGTGGCAAATCACTTCTATGTTGTAGCCTTTAAAACTATATGGATATATCCATAATATCTTGAAAGATGAGCTCAAATCAATTCAAGACAGTATTGTATAGATAATGATTTGATGTTAACTTATCTGTTTTATGGCTGATTTGGAAGCAAATACCACCAATAACTTTATAGATCCTGGTGCTGACTTTGATTGAGACTGCATTCATGCAACACCTTAAATTATACTTGGCTTTAACCATAGTTAATTTAGGGTTAATTTGACAGTTGATCTTTAAATTATCAATATAACTATTTTGGCAAGAACCTCTGCTTCTCTGTTCCCCAAAATCATTCACTGGTTGATACTTTAGGTTTTTTGTTTAGTTTAAGGCCAAAAAGGAGGATTATATTTATTGGTTTATTTTAACAATACAGATAGTCATCAACTTATGACCACGATTGAGCCCAAAATTTATGCTGTTAAGTGAGAAATTTGTTAAGTGAGTTGTGCCCCATTTTATGATTTTTCTTGCCACATTTGTTAAGTAAATCACTGCAGTTGTTAAATTAGTAACACAGTTGTTAAGTGAATTTGGTTTCCCCATTGACTTTGCTTGTCAGAATGTTGCAAAAGGTGATCACATAACCCTGGGACATTGCAGATATCATAAATGTGAGTCAGTTGTCAAGCATCTGAATGTAAATCATGTGACCATGGGGATGCTTCAACAGTTCTAAGTGTAAAAAATGGTCATAAGTTATTTTTTTCAGTGCCATTGTAACTTCAGATGGTCTAAACGAACTGTTGTAAGTCAAGGACTACCTGTATATATAGCCACCCATCTCCCATCTGTGACTCTGGGTAATGCACAGATGTTTAAAACCAAGAAAAGAAACAATATCAAATACACCAGGCATCCAAACCAATCATTTGCCTGATTGAAATCCGAATCTTCATGTTCATTACAATAATATTTGCTCTTGCCAAAATAGTTACCTTGTTTAGAGATCCACTGGCAACCATAGATTAACTATGGTTAATGCCAAGTATAGTTTGATCCTTCTAATATTCCGTTTGTTTCTAAAAAGAAGTCTATATATGTATGTGTATAAAAAAAGCTGTTGTAGGAGCAACTTCTTTATCGATCAGTGTTGTATATTTCCTCATTTTTTCGGGGGAACCAATGGATACTTAAACCCAAATTAATTGTGAATTTAGGTTCAGACACACCAAACTGTTCTTTGGGTAGGCTAAAGTACAATGGGTAATGTTGGCAGCTTAACCAATATTTTCAATAATGCTCCAGATTCAGATGATGTGTTGTCAAAACATTGTTTGAATGCATCCTTATAGACCTCTTTTCCTGCAAAATCATTCTCCATTGCACTAAAATTGATCTACAGTCATCATAATCATTAATACTTAGCATTGCATGTTAGTGATGTTCTTTTGCTTCTCTTCTAAATAGTGGATTCAGGAATAGTGGCCTCACAGAATTGAATTCTGCTCATATTAATAAAACAGCTAGCAATGAAATATAATGTATTTTAAGTGTTGGTTGCTTAGGCTGTGTTTAATTGTCCAAAAGCTGTTTCAAAATCTCTGTTGTAAAACTATTGGTGAAGTCTTCTTAATCTGGAAGGTCAGTACTGTAGTTAAAAGAATTCTGATATGTGCTTCAATGATTCACAGCTCTTGCTATAAGTTTGCCCATGAAACCATATGTAGTTATTTTATGATCAAGGAGACCAAGCAGCAGTTCCAAATGCATCTTGGGTTTCCTTAGAAACTTATCAGGTATTCCTCAATTAAAACAAAAAGGAGCCACTGCAGGGAGCCAAGTTTTCTTGAGAGATGCCTTTTGTTTGCTGCTAATTTTCTCTTGAAACGCCCAGTTGGAAAACCTTGAATATATTTTGTACTGCAATTTCAGTTTAAGGTAAACTATAACTAGGGTCAAGAATTTAAAATGATTACTCATTTAGAGTGGGGTACACCGCCTGAAAGACATGGATTTTTAGTGGATTGCTAGTAGGAGAATTGTAGGAGATATGGAAGGCATTGGCTTTGTTTTGCAGGCAGTTATGGATCATCCCTACTATGCTTGTTGGCAGGTACTATATGGAAAAACATAGCTCCTTTATGCCGACTTCAGTACTTCTCACAAGAGATGTCCTTGTGAGAAGGGAAGCAGAAATAGAGATAGGAAGGCCAGGAATTAACAGGGTGGAGAAAGTAAAAAAGGAAGAATTGTAGCACTCCTAAAGGAGCTTTTAGGAGGAGGAGCAATCACAGTTTTTTTCATCTTAATTTGTTTTCAGGTTTGTGTGCGTAGTTTTTTCATTAGAAATAAAATGCCTTGAAACAAAATCTTATTTCTCTCTCTCTCTCTCTCTTTTTAAAAAAATATATACATTGCTCTCTTTTAAACATAAGTTCATGGGCAGTACACATTTCATATTCATGCAAGTATTTTTAAAGTCACAAATGAAGTAGACAGAACCACACTCTCTGAGAAAAAACACAAAAACTTACAATATACTTGAAAAATGTAAAAGTAGATTTTTAATAACTTGTAAGCTATTGTAGATATTTTTTCAAGATCGGTATCCATCTTGTGGTAAATGGGAAGGAAGGGGGAAAAGATTTTTGTCTTATTTTGAAATTCTGCTCTTTTGATGTTAACTAAAGGAGATGCATGGTGTACCATCAACTTTCTCTGAATTACTCAGGACCTTAGAATGATATTGTCGTCTTTCAGATTTTATTTATAAACTCAATCAACTCAACCAAGTGACTCTGAGTGGCTTACAATTCTAAAATTCTAAAATAATTTAAAACAGTAAAAACATCCAAAATAAATAAACAGCAGAATTGCTGTTCTGAGAGATTTCAGAAAGAGGCTACCTGATTTCATAGTCTCCATAGCAATCATTGCTTTGTCCAATTGGTATCTAGCTCCATTCATTTAGCTTAACGATTCTAATTTCTCATGGTTGGATGAAGTGATCAGAGTATAGTATAGAAAAACTTTTCAGTTTAACCCAATGGACTTGAATGAATTTCTGGTACTTTGGTGTGTAATTCTGATGAAGCCTTCCTGACCTCTGAAAAAGTCTGAGGTCTGGAGGGTTGACACTTTTGTCCCTGAAAAATGTAATATTATTTGTGTTAGATAAGTCAGAAGATGATGCTAAGAACGAACTGCATTATATGCTTCAAATCCAGAGATAAACATTTCACCATTTTTAACATGGATCAGCCATCAAGATAAGACAGTTGGTTGTTCAGTATAAATGCTTAGTAAACTAAGAGCAAGTCTGTTTCTAATTATTAGGTGCAATA